TAACTTCAACTTCTTATTTCTGTTCGAAAAAATTAAACATTAAAATTAGAGTTAACACTAAATAGAAAGTTCTGAAAAAATTACTTGTTGTCAACTTAATAGTCTTTAATCTTTGAATAAAAGATTTATAGATGGTTGAAGACTGAAGTTAATATTTTTTTCAAAAATTTATGAAAATAAAAATACGAAATTTTGAACAATATACACGCTGCGGCAGAACTCGCGCCCCAGAGAAAAATGCCATATAAGGTAAGATACCAGGAACATGGAAAAAATGTTAATTTTTTTTTATCTGTAAACATTTCAAAGTTATGAGGGTTTAAAGTTTTCTCTTTGACTCTATTTATTTCTGTTGGAAAAATAATTTTCCAAGTTTTTTTGTTATAGGCTATTAAAAGAGGAAACAAGGAAGCTGTATCTTAAATTGTAACTCTGTTATTTGTGGCTTTTATTGGCAAAATTTTTGTAGTTTTACTAAATAATTATAAAAAAACATATACAAGATCATCAGTATCTTTAAATAGATATAAAAAAATGTCAAATGTCAAAAAATAAATGTCAGAATTTTTTAAACATTTTCTTCATGTTTCTGGTATCTTACCTTACTTGAAACTTTTCTCTGGTGCGCGAGTTCTGGCGCACCCTGTATAGAACACTCTTTTTATGCTTACTTGTTTTACAGTAAATGAGCAGTTAGGTATGGTACGATTTATTCACTATACAGGCTGCGCCAGAACTTGCGCCCCAGAGAAAAATGCCCTATAAGGTAAGATACCAGGAACATGGAAAAAATGTTAAAAAAATTTTAATTATAAAAATTTCGAAGTTATGAGGATTTAAAGTTTGCACTTTGACTCTATTTACTTCTGTTTCCAAGTTTTTTCCTAAATTGTAACTCTGTTCAATGTTATTTGTTGCTTTTATAAACAAAATTTTTGTCCCGTTACTAAATAATTGTAAAAAAACACATACAAGATCACCAGTATCATTAAATAGACATAAAAAAATGTCAAATGTCAAAAAATAAATGTCAAAATTTTTTGACAGTTAGAATTTTTTAAACATTTTTTCCATGTTCCTGGTATCTTACCTTATATGGTATTTTTCTCTGGGGCGTGAGTTCTTGCGCACCCTGTATTTCGTAATATTTTATTTTTTTATGATACTATTATTATTCTTATTTATTGTTCTAAAATAATGTTTTACTAAAGATAAAATTAATGTCATTCTCTAATAACATTTTAATACCGCACAACTGCCGGTTTACAATTTATATTTCAAGGTTAAAATGCAGTTTACTCTAAACTCTATTTCCACGCATTTTTGATCAAATCGGCTGCCTTTTCACCTACCATCATAGCAGGGGCATTGGTATGGGCGCTTAGTGCAAAAGGTATTACACTGCAATCAGCCACTCGCAATCCTTTAATTCCGTAAACTTCCAATTTGTGATTTACTACAGCTTCTGGGTCATTCTTGGGTCCCATTTTTGCAGTTCCAACTTGATGATTAAAAGTTTGAATAAGCGATCGTAAGAAACATCTCCAATAATCGTCACTGTTGTATTGGTAATGAGTGCAACCAGGAACCGGATTACTGACAAGAGTTATATTAAATTTTTTAAAAGTTTTCGTTTGGATGAGCTTTTGAACGAATCTAATCGCTGCTAAAAAAGTGTTAATATCTTTGTTTTCCGGATCTGAAAAATAATTTCCATACATGAGGGGATAGTCATGAGGGTCAGCAGAGCGGAGTTTGATATATCCTTTTGATTTTGGGGTTAAATGTGAAAGGAAAATCATAAAAGAATTTTTTCCTTCAGTGGGAGCAAAAAGAGCGTTGTAAACACTGTCTCTGATATTCATCCCTGTACGAATTATTAGACCGTAATCAGTCGATAAAGACCCTCCAATTAACAACAATTCCATATCAGGAACAGGCTCTACTTCTTCAGATTCGGTTGTTTTTATATAAGCAATAGCTTGGGCACCTCCTGCACCAACCCAAGGCCCTGTCCTACGCTCCAACACTTCGTAAATGCTGACAAGATTTATAAATTGCGAAAAATGCAATGTAACGTCTTCAGGTGTCACAAAATTTAATCCTAGAAACGCCAAATTGTCTTGAAGATTTTTTCCAACTTCCAAATCTTTTAAAACCGGAATTTTCAATTGTTCTAATTCTTGTTTTGGCCCAATTCCTGATAGCATAAGCAACTGGGGCGAATTTATAGCACCTGCTGATAGAATCACTTCTTTTCTAGCTATCGCTTTATATACTTTGCCCGAAATTTCGTATTCAACACCATACACTTGTTTAGTCTTTTCATCAATTAGGACTTTTCGAGCCAAAGCTCTTATTTTTATAAAAAGATTAAATCTGTGTTTCACAGGTTTGAGAAAAGCATCAGCACTTGAGTGTCTTCTGCCTTGAAAAATATTCGCTTGAATCGTTGAAGCTCCTAAAGTTTTGTTTGAGTTATAATCAATAAATGGTAGCCCTAACTCATGCAGCCCTTTGAGGAAAACATCGGTAATTTTAGTTTGAAAAGGCTCAGAAATACCCAGGTAACCATTCACACCGTGAAAATCATAATCAACGTTTTTCACACTGCAATTTTCTGATTTTATAAAATAGGGTAAAACGTCGTTGTAGGACCATCCTGGGTTGCCTTGTGCGGCCCATTGGTCGTAATTAAATCGATTTCCTCGGGTGTATATCATGTAATTGATAACGGAAGTACCACCTAAGGCTCGTCCTTTATGCCAAGGCATGCGATTGTCGTTGTAAGATTGAGCCAAGTTTGGCTGGACTTCCATAAAGTGGCCCCAGTTATATTTGGTGAAAGGTAGCAGAGATACTGCGTATGGTATTGATGAGATAAGATTGCCTTCATCTCCGGCTTCCAGAAGAAGAATTTTCCAATAGAGGTTTTCTGATAATCGGCTAGCTATAACACTTCCAGCTGAACCAGCTCCAATAATAATAAAATCGTAATCGTCACCTAAAATAGGTGCTTTATTTTGTTAAAAAATAATTTGTAGTTTACCTACCTGTGTCTACGACGTTACAAGACGCAAAAATATTGAAATATATTGTTAAAAAAATGTGAAACTTCATGACTTATTTAATGGAACTAATTTGGTTTTTCGCACAGTTTTGTTAAAGTTTGATTGAAAATAGAGGAGTTAAGCACGAAGCGATTGTGCTATCAATGTTTTATGTTTGGTTAGAGTCAAGGAAATGCTTGTGAAAGCAAAGACAAAATCAAAAATCGGACGTAAAGCATGAAAGATTTATTTTGTTTGATATTTAAAGCAAAAGACAAAGAAATTCGTCTTCCAAGCCATAAAAGAAGTTCCTTCGACCATAAAGTTACTTCTACATGTTGCGACAGTAAAAGGACGATAAAAATTCGATGTGCATTTACATCAATTTTCCTCGTCGGTTTATCTCGTTGCTTTCAGATGGAAGAGTTGATGCGACTCAACTGTCTGAAAACCTCAACATTGTGCCTAAATTGTTGCAATTCTCGGCCTCAAACAGCCCTAATCTCACAAATAAAAATTTCTATTTTAACCTCTATGTGCAATTAAGCTTCCACCATCCAAAATTTATCGGATTCGTTTCCCTTCTTCGACCAAATTGGCCGGGACAGACATTCTTTCCGGCCTTCCATAAAGAATTGTTGGCTCTAAAACAAACTGTACGAAATTAACTCTCAGGCAAACAAATTTCTTTTCGGCTGATGTGTTTTTTATCCGATGAAGAGAAAATTTGACGAACGATCCGGCCAAATGAAAAGCGAATTACATATTTCCACCCCTCCTGTTTATTTTCTTTCTATTTCAAGGGGTAAATGTTTGCGTTATCGCGCGCCAAAAGAAAGCGAAAAGAGGATGTGATGATAATTTCGTGAGTGATGTTTGGGTTTGTGGGCGCCTTCTTCGTTATAAAATCATAAGGTGATGACACGGTTTGACAAAGGCTGAAGTAACGCACTTGCACCGTCTTTAATTGACAGAAAAACTGATTTTATTTGATTTGTAGTTAAATTTTCCCCGAAAGACAATTAGCTAAGCGTCTGAGCAACACAATGCAATAATTGTGGCAACAAAACCGCTTACTACAAAATTCATACAGTTGATGCGGTAAACTGGTAACCAGCCTATTAAGTTATGTGGAATACATTTAAACGCTCGACTAAATCTATCCCGTTTTCGGCAAAATATCAACGTTTTCAGTGGTGGAACGAGCATAATCTTAGAAAGCAAATAAGGCAACATTGGCGTTAGCCAGATTCTAAGGCTGAGGCGGACATTTTTCATTGCGTAAAGAAGGGAGAATCCTGTTGCGATCAATATAGGCGTTTCTTCCTGCTAAAGTTCCTGCTAGTCAGTTGAAATGGCGGCACTGCACATTTAAACGTGACAATTTTCAAACAAAATATACGATTTAGGATTAGGAAAAGGATTTGATGTTTTTATAAAACGAAAAAGTTTTTTAAAATAATATTTATTTATGTTATTGCAGGTGGATTGCCTTATAAAGTTTATCCCGGTCATGATGGTGTCCTTACGGAGAAGAGAAAACAACGAAGGATAAGAACAACGTTCACATCTGCACAACTCAAGGAACTGGAACGAGCTTTCCAAGAGACGCATTATCCTGATATCTACACTAGGGAAGAAATTGCCATGAAAATTGATCTCACGGAAGCTAGGGTACAGGTTAGTCAAAAATCACACACCAGACTCAAATTTAACTTAATTTAAATGAAGTACGAGTTGTTAGTTGCTTCATAAATCAAGATCCAAGCCAAAAATTAAATGAAATGAAAACGGCTGGAAAGACAGCGTCATTTTTGTTCAAGATTTATCATTTTATGATCATCAAAATTGAGCATCACCAAAAATTTTTCAGTTTCAACAACAAATTAATTCATATTTTAAAAATACCTAATTTACGTAATTGTAAAACAGATTACAGGTGTGCCCAAAACAATTAATTTGATATGGTGGTGTTTGCTAAATTAGTGCCAAATCTTTGCGTAAATGAGACAAAATATTTACAGGCTGGGATTATTTGTCAAGTGTCTTAATAAAACTGTCCTTTGCCAAATTATTGTTGAGACTTGAAATTAGAAAATGTGTATATTATTCTCACACAAAGCAAAAATAAAATACGGTTTAAACTTATTTGGAAACATTTGGGTATAATAGAGCTTTTAACGACTTTTCGCCATTAAGGATAATATAATATTTGAATTATGACACTAACATAGTGTGAATTTTTTACGAAAATGAGAAAACTTTTGCTGTTACGTTTATAAACATAAACAAAAAAAGAACAATTTGAATATTTTATTTTCCGGATTAATCCTTGATTTTCTGGTGTTTTTTACCAGATGGTCACGCTCTGGCATCTTCGCGGTTCTCATTTTTCATTTCGTTGTACCGACGCGTGCTCAATTTAACTTTTCGTCGAGGATGGCGGTGCGGTGGCGGCGGTCTTCGGTCTCCCGGATTATGAAATATTCAGGACAACAACGGAAACCCAGGTGCACTAGCACGCCTCTTACAACCGACTAAATTAAAGCTAACGATATCAATATCTATAAAAGTAATTCCATCACTTTCAGTTTCGGCCCCCACAAATTATTCATTGTCGTATCGGTGTCTAAAATGCGCCATCAAAACTTTAATGGATGAGGTTTCAGGACAGTTTGATGTACGCCGATGCAAGGACGTCATGGCTGTCGGGGGGCGGCAACTGCAACATGGACGATATGCTAATTAAAATTAAAAGGCGACGCCACATTATGATATGAAATGGAATTGACAATTTTTTTCACCGATATTAACATTCGAAACATGATTGTGTCGCTTTTACTGTGCGTCAATTAAGTTTGGCACTTCGGACAAAAATATTAATTTCAATTTCAATTTTACTCGTAAATACGAAGCTATCAATATGTTGCAAAAATGCATCCATATTATGTTAATAAAGTTAATTAAATATGAATAATTACCCTAATGCAAAAAGGGCCTCTATGATCAAAACGTATTGGATTGTCTGTATTATTTAATACCTTGTCTTGTTTTTAATAAAAACCAATAAAATTCTTGATTACTTAAATAATTGTTTATTTTATTATCAAAAAAATTGGCAACACCAGCTCAGCAAGGAGAATGTTTTGAGGGTTAACCCCCCCACCCCCCCCCCGCCCAAGTGAAATCAGGCAAAATGGCAATAAAACTAGAATTATATTTTAGAAAAAACCAAATTAAACATTTCAATTTTGTATACAATTATTTTCTATGTTAAAAGAATCACAATTTTTTTTAATTGTAAATTGCGGCAAAATTTTGCCTCAAATTTTATAATGTTACATATGTAGAATGTTCCGAGTAATCGATTGGCATCGAGAAAACTGCAAAATTCTTGATCATTTAGAAGTTACAGTTGCATACCGTTGGAGACAAAATACTTTGGCCGTCAATGTCACTTGAGTGACATTAAATTGTAAAGCATGCTTTAGGACTGTTAACCTTATTTTTAGCTATTGCCAATCACAGTTGACAAGTTGTACATATTTTTGATAGAGAGATATAAATAATAGCTGTAATTTGAAATTGTCATTAATTTTAACGTTAAAGCTTGAATTACATTAAAGTGTCAAAAACGTGACGACCAAGGTATTTTGTCTTCAACTGTACATACAGGGAAAGCGAATAAAAAGCATAAGAGCTTTTTTCTATTTTGGTGTCACAATGGACATTTTATGCCAAATGCTTTTTGTGACACTGTTTTTAGAAACATTTTATACTACATTTTAGCCATTACTGTGCATACTGGGAGACACAGTTGTAGATCAACGTATTTCATCGAAAGTAATGCAATTTGAGCTATTTTCAATCAATTTGAAATTCTTAAAATTTTTCAATATAAAAAATGATATTGGGAAAAAAATGCGCGTTACATTGTGATACTCTAATGAGTGTCCGAAATTTTTCACATTGGTAAACTCCCCTAAACTCTTCTTTAGCTGCGCCACTGATTGGCAAAATACTTAAAAATCGCATTCAACATTAAAATATTTCTCTATGTTCGAGTTTAAGACCGGACACCCGGTATATCAGAGAATGGAATATCTCCTGTTTATGATTGGTTATTATAAGTTTTTAAACAAAACGAAATTTATTTTTTCTATTAACTTTCATACTACGTCTATAATTAATTAATTTATTTTTGTTAAAAATTGACGTAGATTGTTGGAATTACATTTTTACATATATTTTAGTTTTTTTTCCTTTTTTCTTAATGTATTTTTTTTTTGTACACAATAGGAATTATTGTTTGCATTTTTGAAACTTGTAAAGCTGTCATAACACCATTGTTGAGTGTTCTTCCAGACTTCAAACAATAAAAAGTCTTTTTTCTAAACCATAGATTTTTTTTTTCAGGAATATTGCCGTACCTTTAACTAATTTTTATGCAGTGGTCTATAAGTCATAAGTACGTATATAAGTACTTTTTAAGCTCAGAATTGTTATAGAGGGAGTTGTTAAACAATTTTTCTGATTTAAATGATATAATATATTAAATATAATTTGTCTCTGAACAAGCTTGTAGAGCAACAATTTTTATCTAGAACAAAGCTCAAAATTTCCTTCTAATACGACTTGGAGCTTATTTTTCCTGTAAAATGTTAGTTATCTTGAATCTATTTCATTTTTATGTTATTTTTAAAGTCAAAGAGTAATTTTCTAATTCATTAAAGCGCAGGATTGTGTTTTTATGTTAGCTGAAGAGTAAGTTTTTTCTAATTTGAATTATACCCAAAACTATATCATTGTTCTGAATAAATGTATTGCATTTGGAAAAAATATCTTGTAGCGGAATTAGTCATAGACGAATAATCTAATGAAGCGTTATTTATTTCTCGCCTGTCTCATTATCATATTTTTCGCGGCGCCTTTATTACCCTGATGTAATCTCCTAGCATCCCTCTGAAGTGTGGTCACGTGCCCTTTGGTAACTGAATCCTGTTACACTGATAGATCTGCCTCGACGCGTCCTAATCGCTCCTTGCCGTGAAATTGTCTTTTGTCACGGTACTACAAATGATTGTTAGTAAATCCGTGTTAACATGACAGCTCACACGACTCTCATGTACAGCCCACTTGACTGAACGACCGTTCATAATTACCCTCTGATTTTTCCTCGTTCCAGGTTCCCATACGTATTAATCATAAAATCGTAAAACTGCAACGAAATAAATTTCATCGAATCAATTTTAAATCGGTTTATTTTGATGGATCTCTCTTTGTCCTTGCATATTGACAATTTTATGGACGCGCAGGAAGTAAATCGTTGACGGCGAAATGGCTTTATAAATTCTTCGCCGTCCATCGCTTCCAATTAGGAGATGTGTTTATAATAACAAAAATGAGTCGGCTGCAAAGGAAATCAAACGCATATATCAGAATTAGAGCGCGCGTATGGGGCCTCGACCGCGAAATGGTTTGTGGGTAAAATAGTGACGAGAACTCGCGTCATTTAGCGAGTTTTATGGACCATACACGAGCTTTATCTTTTTGGTCCCAATTCCCAACACCGCCCTCGGACCACCACCAGCCTAAAGTGTATGTGCATATGCGAAGGTGGTGCCATATTTTCACAATATCAAAAGATAAATCGTCGCTTCATCAACGAATATTTGAATACGAGCAAAATTTTCATTATAGAGACGGTCGTAAAGTAGATACCACCATACGTAAACGGGAAAATGAGAAATCTACACTTATAAAGCAATGAAACGATTAGGTTTTTTTTTGAAGATGAACAAATGAACAATATAGGAGACAGTTTGTTGTGAATCCAATTTTAAGGCCGAAATTGCGTTGTTTGTGAGCTTTTGGCCTATGGGAGAGGGTTATCGCCCGTCGTAATAATAATGTTTGTGTTTATTAAGGGCTAATGCAAGTTTACGGCGTTTATGGCCGCGTCCTGTGGTCTAACGAGTGAGTGTGTAATGGCTGCACTTAGGGGCCATCTGCTGGCCATCGCGCCAGTGTATCCACCACGTCTACCATACCTAGATATAAACATTTGTTTAATTTCCCTGTAGATGTTTGGCGGATTTGGATTCATCGTCCGGAAATAAATATTGGCAAATTGTTTGAATGGTGGCGTCATAACATGAAAGGCATTTGCTATACCGGAATTTCTTCCGGTGGCTATTAATCCGGTTAGTCGACGGTCTCCAGCGGCCCCATTTCACTTCCTGTGACCACCGGCATCTGTATTCTGCATATACACGCCAATGTCCAGCAACTCGTAAACTATTCAAACGCTCATCCATCAAACACTGACAGAATTTATGGACGTCCTCAGTGCTCCGCCAACGAGGACGAATAGGGTAGAAAGACGGTCGCGTGAGACCAGAAAGAGCAAAGGTTCTATGCCTAGATAAGTCAGAATCAGACATTTCCATCCAAGTTTGAATTAATCTTCGACAACAAAAACAATTTTCTGCAGAATCAGAAATAACTTTTCTCGACACAGCAAAGTCGATTGATTTGTTAGGCCCAATTGTTTTCCCTTGACACCGGATCCTGTTGTTTGTCAAACCGGTAACAATTAGGATCAATTGAATCCATGCCCTTCGCTGACTCCCTCTGATTCAGAGGCGCGCGACGCACGGTCAAAAAGGCGTAACGCCGCA